ATCATACATACTTTCTTGCAGGCATTCCGTGTCTGTGCAGTAGGACTGGGACTGTCTTAGCTAGAAATGGATGAAAAACAAAAGGAAATTGTGTGAGAAGATGGACAAACTGCATGGACATTTTTTTTGCAAAAAACTTATAAAAAGCATCATTGGAAATCACAAGGTCTGCATCTTTAATTGAAGAACTGTACCATTTGGAAACCATCAGGGTTATAAAAGGATCATTTTGACAAAGACAATATAAGTCTTTAAAATAAGCATTAGGAATGCAGGGGAAAAAAAATCACATAGGATTATACTGAATCATGCTCCTTTTGGACATTTTTTTGGAAGCAGACAGCACAAGAAATGATATTGTTTTACTGCAACGTAATACCAACATCCTAATCTTCTTCATTTAGTTTTCAAGGCAGCTTAGACACTTGGTGACCGCCATCTCTGTCTCAGAAGTGTGGCGGTCACCATTTCCAAGTGGTGACATAGAAACATTAGTTGGCATCTTGCGAGAAACAAATGCTGAGCTCTACAGTCCAGCCTCCACCAGTTTGAACCAGGGCTACAGTTTTAGCCCCCAGAGATTCAGCAGGCAGCAGTGTACAGGCCCTGAGATGCACAGCTTCCTTCTTCGGTCTTCCATCAGCACGCTCTGCAACCTGCTAGTCTCCTCTGCTCTCGGGAGGCTCTCAGGAAGAGCTGTGTCGCCTGCAGACGGAGCCAAGCTTTAGGAGTGAAAAGCAATGCCCACTGCCCACTTCACAGACGAGCCCTCGTCTGTTCTGCGGCAGAGCAGATTGGAATACAGAAACTGAGATTGCGATTCCAAACTTGAGGAGGCAGTTAAGAAAAAGGACTGGCGACTCCGCATGTGAAAAACCAACAAAAAAGCAAACTGGAGAAAAGAGACCCTCTTTTTCTGAAACGCGCTGTTACTTGTGTGGTAAAGGAGGATTTTAAAAAATGTAGCACTGGAAGTTTCTGAATGGTGGTTCACGCTCACCACACACCAGCTAGCAGTGGGGAGGAGAGCAGAGCGATGAAGCCAGTTCATAGATGGGGATTATCAGGAGGCCATGATTGGTAAAGGCCAGCGGGAAATTTGCCAAGAACCCCAGAGTTCAAATGCCTACTGTTTTCTAGAAACGCCCTGGGATTTTTTATTGACTATGGCGAGTCAAGTCCTGACTTCTACATCTCATCTGAAGGATGGCGCTTTTTTACAATATAGTGTCCCCATCCCTTTACTGGGGCATTAGGAGCTGTACAGACTGCAGGGTAAGCACCCCTGCTGGCCCCACTAACACCTCTTCATTAGCCAGTCTTATTCCATGGGAGCTCTGGTGAGCAGATAGCAGTACTGGACACTTACTTAATTGTTAGAACTAAGATAAACAAAAAAGATAACCAGATGATCAACCCAGCCTTATAATTTCCCAAATATTTCACACAAATGAGCTTCATGACAACACGGTTCTTCAGGTCTGGCAGTATTTATAGTTCTCTCTACAACAACACCTGCTTTAGTCCCGGGGGAAGAATTACAGGGACTTAACCAACTCCTTAGCTGAATAAGCTCATTTAATATAAAGGGTGGAATTAAAAACCAGAAAACCCTGTGGCCTTGGACTGGAGATGAAAAACGATAATGCATCTTTCCTGGCTACAACTCAAGTACTGCTTTTTATTCCTTTCCGAAGCCAAGCTTCTAAAGTCGAGAAAAGAGTGTTGATGCACCTGGTTATCGCTTCATTGAAGAGAAACACCACTGCTGTCCAAACCTTGTTCTGCAGGATACATTCAAAAGCGTAATCTC